ATTTAAAGAATCCTGAACACTACAGCTAGCAGTTTAACTGACAATATAGCATTTATCTTCACTGATTCCCAAAGGATTCCCTTCAAGGATGAGTGCAATACATTTTATGAAGCTCTCCTTGCTCACATAAACATAATGTCATCCTACTTCCTTGTGATTGATAACACATGTGGTATTTCACAACAGATTATACCATGCTTGTGAAATACTAAAGTCCATGTTATATTGACACATTTTATACCAGTGCCAAGTTTTTTTCCTTGACCAGGAAATATGGTGACCACAACCAATTTGCTATTCAAAAGCCCTAGACTGGTGTGAGAGATCTACACTTGTGCCTTGGAGTTATGCAATGAGGTCATGAGTAATGCTTCAAAAGGATGTGCCATTGCAAAGTGTCTCAAACAGCTGGAAAGCCTTGTGGGCAGCCTTAGGCTTTTACACACATTTACAAAGCAATCGTAAAGCTGTGACACATAACAGAAAAGGGAAAAAATAAATGCAAATTTCATATATTGCTGTGTGCATGAATTGCCTTCTTTTGTAGACTACAGCTCCTATTTGTAAAGTATGCAGCTTCCCATAATCCAAGCAGAGAGAAAAAGGAATTTTAGCTGCTTCCTGCCCCCTCACACCAGTGAGTGGTGGTGTTTGGGTCTGGAAGGTGTTTGCTTCCTCTCCAGCATCGGTGTCCATGGGCTTTCTTGGAAATCTCCAGCACCAGCAGCTGGAGAGGCAGAGCGCCAACCCAAAAACCTGCAGAGCAGTGTCTGTCTGTGGGTCAGGAGCTATGGGACAAAAGGATTGTCTGGATCTTAACATCCAGGATTTTTACCTGAAACTGTAGTGGGATTATTTTTATGCTTGAGACCGCTTAACCCTCTTTTTGTCTATGGCAAGGGGTGGGTTTCTCACTCAGCTACTGAATTTCTTGCTTTGATCAGCTKACTTAAACTGCTGCTCTTGCACTTTGATATTAAAAGAATGTGGCCTCAATAAGAACCCATCTCTTGGTCACTGCCAAATGACTCCTAGGCCTCCGTGTGTCTGCCATACCTTCTTAGTGCCAGTCTCACAGTTCCTGAAGGGCTATTTGGATAATAAATAGGCCGAGCCCAGACTCTGGAGTGGCAGTGTAAGCTGATAGACCAGACTGATACATCAGGAAAAGGGTCATGTGTGGCAGAGCTATTTGCTGCCATATGAAGGGAAGGGCCATGTCTGGCAGAGACACTTTTCAGGGAGCAGAGCTGCTCCAAGCTGTTGCCTGCTGCAGGGTACATGCGCCAAAGTCCTTAGGTTACACGAGGGTGCTGCTCTTGCAATGCTTTGGAAGCCTCAGCTGTGCAGTTTCAGTGGCTGCTGAGCCAAGAGTTATTGTYCTTGTCCTGACAYGCTTTCAGTGCCCRCTGTGCAGGGCACTGTGCTGRGCTGTACRTGTGTTCTGACACATGCCTTTCCAAAACTTGGGAGAATTTTACCACGTAGAAACCCAACAGAGACAMATCTTGGTTAATTAGGAGAGAGAAAGGAAGTATTACCTTCTTAGTTGTGCTGGAAATTTTATAAAAATTTTGAGCTAAAGAATGATTGTCCTTCTAAACCACATCATGCCAAAAGCCAAATGTCACCCTGCCAAACCAGCACTGATYTAATGAGAATTAATCTAGAATTAGGTCAGTAACTTGTAGCTGCACTTCAGGCTGGGGAGAAGGGTATAAAGGAACATGCTTTCCACTTCCATTTAGTCTGGGGATTTGTTTTTTGTTGTGGGAGATAGTCCTCCTCTCCCACTCCCATTGTCTAGGTATCTAGACAATGCTCCATTCTTTTTCTCTGACAATTTTTTCCAGAAAACATGACTATATTTCTTTTATTTGATGTTCTGAAATGGCAGGTCAAACACKCTTGCAACAATAGAGGCAAACAAACTGATCACCATCTGAACTATGCTAACAAGAAGCCCCATAGCCTAGACAAACCAAGACTGATGTCTTGCAGTAASATGCCTTTAATCCAGGTTTCAAAAAACTTCACACTTAAAACCAGGTGTAGTTAATTCTGTGATTTCATATTCGGTTCCTGAAGGAACACCACTGAGATGAGCTGCCTGCTTGCAGAGGATATACTTTGTAACAGACTAATCATCAAAAGGTTGTGCTGAAAAAGAGAAACAGCCACTAACAAATACTATGTATAATAGAAGTATGACTTTTTAAAAAGAAAAATCTTACCATGTTATTAGATACCTTAAAGCCTAAAAAACCTATGCTTCACAGAAGAGATACAAAAAATTTAAGCTGAGGCTACTCTTGAATTAGTGCTGGGTAATTGYCTCATTGTTCTAAGAGTATTGAAATTCTTTGTTTCATGCAGCTTGAATGCACAGGAATCCAATAYGTTTGAAAAACTCACAAAGGAGACAAAACAACAGCTTCATCCCTAGGATTGTGGTGCCAAAATACCCAAYAGCTGTTTCTGAATTGTCCTTGATGAAACGAGAAAGCATTTTGTTGACATCTAACGGAGAGAATAAACCAATAACCAGCTTGTCCACACAACAGATTGCCAAAATGGCAAATACTATTGTACCCCAATGAGACATGCAGAGCAAAGGTGGTTCTTCCCTGGAATTCAATAAGAATCCAAGAGAAAATTAAATCCTCTCAATGTACTCTACACATACACCCTTGTATTTCTGCCATCTGTTGCTAGGCCACCACTCAGCATCTAGAGACCTCAGGGATTTGTCTTCTGAACTTAACTGCAGTGAAAATTCGTGACTGTAGTCAGTGACCAAGCACAGTGGTTCCCAAGTCTCTTGGGGTCTCCCATTCTGCATTCACACTCCCAGGGGATGCAGCCCTTCTCCACAAACATCAGTTCTGTTGKTTGCATCATGCTGCAGTTTCTTCCAACTTCTGAGGGCTCAGAGAAATACAACATGAGTTTTGCACAGATGATCCCAMGCTAGCTAAGATAATGGCTTCTTTCTCTAAAATCAGCTCTACAACATAATGTCTTGATGGTTGTTGGACAGCAGAGGGATCGATCAGACCAGATAAYACTCTGCTTTTAGATTAAAAGGTAGATTAAAGAAAGATTATAGACAAGTATCTCCTTAGAGTTTTGTCCACCMATGATCCCCCTTCCCAGAGTTCTGAACAGGGTACAGAGCCCAGAATTAACATTCCAGCACTGAGTCATCTCCTGACATGGAAACCTGTGTGAGGGAGCCCTCATCCTTGCTGGGCCAGGCAGAGTGCTAAGCCAGGGACAGACAGAGAATGATTATGCTCAGGTCCCTACAGAATTCACRATTCATCAGAGAAATGGAGAGGGAAAAGTCTCAAAAGAGATACCTGGCAGCAAACTACAGGAGAAGATGAAGGAGAGTTAAAAATTAAACCTTTGTTTGCAAAGTTTACTACTACAATACAGCCYTTAAAGTTAATACCAGGATACAAAGTCGCCTCCTATAATGGCACAAGCTTCCTGTGATTCGATTTTTAGTTAAGATTAAGGACCAAGGTAACCATTCCAGGTAACCTTGGTCTAACACYGTGGAAATTTGATGCTTTTTATTCATCAGTCTCTACAATTTTTCCAGTGGTGCAATGAAACCTGCAAATTTCACACACAACGGTTTTCATCCTGCTGGCAAAAAATCCAGCTACCTGTCAAAGGTGGGACCTCAAAGTACAGGCAAATAGATGCTAATTTATCCCTTTCTTTGCCTAGTACATGCTGGCAAAACACCACTGAATGAGACTTAAACCTTTTTAACCAAGCAATCCTTACTAATTCAGCCATCTCTCCTCCTGCCTTCAGCCCCATAAATAATGCAAAGCTCAAAAGTAGAAAAACCAAACCAAAAAAAGTTCAGAAATAAAATGTTATCAGAAGATCCTTGTAATGTTTGGGATTGCAGSAGAAGACCAAAACTGCACGATTGGCCCACCAGAGATACCACGTCTGTATTTCCATTTGCTTTATTTAGCTGACAAATGTCCCAGACTCTCTGGACTGCAAGTTCAATAATGCCTTCCTTGCAATACCTCCGAGTGTGGATGGACACAAAATTGCTGCACTCTAATTACAGCGAGCTTAGTTTGGCAATTCAGCATTTGGTGCTGAGTATCCTCTTTACAGTGGATGCGATCAGCCCTTGCACTTGGAGCTGTCAGAGCATTAAATCTGTGGAAAACAGGAATGTGCTAGTCATGCCTCGTTTCCACTAGCTCCACCGCCAAATTTTTTTTTTTTTTTTTTTTTTTAGATTCTCTGAATATTACTACCACTTTTTTTTTTTTTTTTTTTTTTGAGTAGAAATTACTGCGTTCTGCTTTTTTATTTTCTTACTGGTTTTTGTTTGTTTGTTTGGTTGGTTGGTTTTGGTTTTTTTGCAAAATCTTGGAAGGAATCTGTTTATTCAGTTTGTACAAAATAAGGCAATCTCGATACCCAGACAGAAAACTTCAACTTGAAATTATCACCGAGGCTGTTCTACTTCTTCAAACCCACAGCCGCCCGCACCGCACACTTCTGTGTCCCACCTGTCTTTCCCATGAAACACCTTTCAGAAAGCTGGAAGGGAGGAGCCCCCTGCTCCCGGCAGATGCACGGGCTGGCCAGCCCAAGGCACGAAGCAGTGCCGTCTCTGGAAGAGTAGATAAGGGTAGATGAATGCTTTAGGAATTCACATACTAATTCACATCCTATGTTGCTGGGGAAATGAAGGACGAGTWCTGTACATGGCGAAGCGCAGAAACCCGAAGAGAAAAAAAGTTCATACGTGTTGTAGGTGTCACGTGCGGTCACAGCAGCGGGCGCGCTCCCGGCCATGCGCGGCCTCCAGCGGAGCCGGAGCGGCGGGCGGGGCCGATCCCGATCCTGATCCCGCCCCGCGCTGGCGCTGCCCCGGGGCCCGGGGTGGGCAGGCAGCGGGGCCGCAGGGAAGGGCCGCTCCCAGCCCCGCCGCAGGTGTGCGCCGGGCCCCGGGGAGCAGGTAGGGGCAGCCCGGTGTGTGCCGGGCCGGGGATCCGGGGCCGTTCCGGAGCCGCTTTCCAGAGGGCGGCACGGGACCGGGAGCGGCGCCATGCACCCGGCGCAGTCTCGGGCCGAGGTGGCCGTGCCGCGGCCACCAAGCGCTGGTCCGGCGGATGGAGGAGAATTCCCCCTCCGGACCGAGAGCCGGGGGCCGCCGTCCCGTTTGCCAGGAATGCCGACGGCCCGGTCCGGAGGGGCGCGCTGGGCCAGTGCCCGCCCGTGCGTGGGTGCCCGTACTCACACTGCCTCTGAAACAGCGATTCTCCTCRCACCTGTTCCTGATGTTTCTCACCAGAAAATCTCTCCTTTGCCTTCTCAGGGCAAATCTGCACTTTATTAGGAGAGAAGCTCACCGSCGCTCCCCAGCAATGGCAGGTAAGAGCAAATGCAGGTGAAAACACCGCTCGCTCCAGGCCGGGACCCCGGGCACCTCAGGGATGGGGCCTCTCTGCCCTGTTTAKTTGGGACACTGAGGTTTTATTTTTCCAAGTAAATTATCTCAGTAAAGGATGCCTTGGAAACTCCGGTATTTCCAAACACTGTGTCCAAGTGCCCTCAGCTCCACTGAAAGGGAAACAAATCAGCCTTTTTGCAGAATCAAATTTAGCACCTTTTTGGAGCATGTGACACGTTCAGTCACTGGGCTCCCTGTTTGTTGTGAGCCGGCAGGAACAGCCAAGAGGTAACTGCTCCTGATATTCTAGAATAAGGTATGGAGCACAGGTTTAAAGCATTTATACATACAATGATTTTATGATAGTGTCTGACACGCAAGTTTTAATAGCCTTTTTTGCATAACTCCTTTTTCAYGGACAATATTTACCCACATCCGGAAGCTGTGCCGTAGAGAAACTGAGTTCAGGAGATGCCTGAGGTTTTGTGCAGGCAATCAGGAAGCAAGAGCAAGAGCATGTTTTGMAGACCCTGTCATTTTCAATAGTCCCTGTAAATTTCCATCTCTGCTACTCATAAACAACTACACCCCCATAGAAAATCTTACCTTTGTTTTCACTGATGCATGTTTTTTAAGAGAAGTATAAAAATTAAAWTACCTATGCTCAGTAAAACTTAAAGCACACCATGATGCACTTTGAGCACAACCTTGTTACATCCCTCTAAAAAGCTCCATCCCAACATACCCACTGGGCTACTCATTTTATGTTGCAATCACTTTGTCAGCAGTTCAAGATATATGCAGCAATCTAATCTCTGAGAAAAAATATCCCGTTGCTGTCTAAAGAGGTCGCTGTGTCTAAAGTGGGACAGGAGCATCTTAAACATCTATCCCGATGTCCTCACTTGCAAATCAATAACTCAAAAGATGAGGGGATCCCCCACTGCAGTAGGAAGGTGTTCTGACCTCTCCAAAGTTKTTTCCATGACACTTTGGGGCAATCTAAGCTGGCCCTGCTTTTTGGGTGGTAGTGGTATCAGACCAATAGATATGTTGTCTCAAGGGAAGGAGCAGTGTTTGCTGATGGAGGGCAGTGTGATCTGCTATGGGATACCCTTGCTGTCCCCTGAGTTCCACCTGGGAAAGCCCAATGGAGCACAAAATTGCTGGGCTGGGCATATCCAGCAATTAGTGTCTCAGGAGTCACTCACTGCTGCTGAGCAGGAATCACAYGTTGCCACTCTCACTCTGCTTTCACTGTTTTTGTGTCCCTGGGAAAAGTCACTACAGAAAGAGGAAGGAACATGTCCCAGCTCCACAAACTGTTCWGCATCTGCCTCCTAGATTCCAAAGGGTCTCCTGGTTTTCTTTCTGCCTGCAGGGAAAAAAGTCCTGATAGTCTATGCACATCAAGAGCCCAAGTCCTTCAATGGATCTTTGCTGAAGATTGCTGTGGAAGAATTGACCAAGCAGGGCTGCAGTGTCACGGTGTCGGATTTGTACGCCATGCAGTTTGAGCCCAGAGCAACARGAAATGACATTGTTGGTGAGACCAGCCAAAATACACCTTTTTCAGGAAACAGTGACCTGTAAGCCTCCTGTCAGGTATCAGATGGCTGAAAAAAAGCTTCCCTGAAATCTTCCCCATACTGAACAACCCCAACTCACAGTCTGTGTTGAAAGGAGAGGTGCTCCAGGTCCTTGGATCATCATGAGATTAATAAGAAACTTACTGACCTGACATCAGCATTCTAGAAGTCCCCTCCCGATTATGAACTGTAGATAGCAACCTGTAGTTATCTCTTATCTGGCTCTGATACTGCACATGGGGCAGGGAATGACTTTCCACTTCTACCTACAGGTCACCTGCACAACTCAGAAGCATTCAATTATGGTGTGGAGACATGGGAAGCTTACAAGAGAGGAGGTTTGTCCAAAGACCTGGTTGAAGAGCAGAAGAAGGTGCAGGAAGCAGACTTGCTGATTTTTCAGGTCATTATTTGAAAACAGAATTCAGTTCTGATGTTCACTTTATCTCTAGGCAGCGGTACAGCAAAAACTACAGATCAGTAGCACAATTATCTGGGTCATTATTACAGCAAATCCAGTAACTGAGTAGCACAGTGATGCAGGCTGAAACAAGAGCAACTCCAGGAAC